GCAGCCCGCAGGCCACCTTCTAGTGCTTCCGGCAGATCACCTCCACTCCTTCTCTGGGAAACCATGATAGAGGCAGCTCTGCTAGGGACAGGGCTCTGGGGGATGGAAGTGGGTAGTATGATCCCCATTTTACAGATGAGGAAACTGAGGCCTCAAGAAGTGACCTGCCCCAGGTCGCACGGCTAGGAAGTGGCAGTACTAGGATTCACACCCAGTTCAGGGGGACTCTCACAGTTGTGTATTTGAGAAAGAATGGGTGCCCACGACCACTTGCCGCTTTGAGACACACCAGCCCAGTCTCCAACTGCCAGTATCTGCCACTCTTCCGAGACTCTCTGGCCACAGAAGCCCTCTTTGCCAGCCATTTGGCATGTGGAGGCACTGAGGAATTAACACCCTCTGGGAACAGCCAGCAATGATTGACGGGAGTTGGTGTACACACACCCCGGCTCCCTCACACCTCCAGTGGGATGACTGCCAGGCGTGCTCCTTTCTGTCTCCAGAGCCCCCGGGGGAGTAAAGCTCCAGCTGCTCACAGTGGTCACCTGCTTGGCATCACACCCTTTATGTCTGCCTTCCCTCCCCTACCAACGTTTCCTGGGATTCTCTCCCAAAGAAACGACTGGCTCTCAATTCCTTGTCTTGAGGAGAATTCAACTTTTTTTTTCTTGGCCGCACTGCACGGCTTGTGGGATCCTAGCTCCCCAGCCAGGGATCGAACCCGAGCTCTTGGCAGTGAAAGTGTGGAGTCCTAACCACCAGACCACCAGGGAATTCCTGAGGGGAATTCAAATTAACACAGCCTTGAAGGATGGATCGGATCTTCCCAAGTGTAAGACCCCAGCATGAGAAGGTCCTTCCCACCCTCTGAGAAGGTCATCGGGCCCGTCTGTTGCCCTGAGGAGGGAAGGCATGGACCTGGCGGAGCAAAGGGCAGGGGAACACAGGAGTGGCACTCGCTCATGCTGAGATCGTGGGCAGGGCCTGAGGGACTGAGACAGGCAGAGGCTGGCTATTGAAACTGTTAGCTCTGAGAGGACCAGAGTGGGCCCACCCAGTGTGGATGGGCAGGCAGCCTGGAAGAAGCGAGCGTGGAGCTTGGCTCGGGAGACAGTGAGGCAGGTGGAGAATACAGGGCTAGCTGAGGGCAAGCGAGACGGTGGCTGGGGGCGTGGGAGGAAAGGAAGTGGGAGAGGCAGGTGGGGCACCAGCTGGAGAGCCAGGCTGCCTGGGTATGAATCCAGCTCTGCCAATTCTCTAGCACTGCGATGTTCACCCAGCATCCTCTGTTCAATCACCTCAGCATCCTCTTCTGTAAAATGGATGCAACACTTTTGACAGCCTATACCACCCACCCTCAGGATGGTGTCCTCCCCATCGGGGATCCTACAACGGACAGAATCCTTACGGCAGACTTGAGCTGTTAAATTACCCAGTTGCAGGTAAATCCCACCTCTCCCCCTCCCTCTCTATCAACAACAACCACCATTTTATCAGCGCTGAGCATACACATCCTTTTTCAGCCAGCTTCCTCATACTCTCCAAACACATCACCAATCCTCCCAACAACCCACTGAGATGGGTGGTGACTTCCCTGCCTTCTCTGAGACTCAGAGAGGTTAAATAACATGTCCAAGGTCACACAGCAGGGAGGAGGCAGAGTCGGACCCAGACCCTGACACGTTGACAGGTGCCCGGTCCAGAGCCCGTATTCCATGGGTGTCACCCCAGCCCTCCTGGCCTAAGGGACAAGCTCAGCTCAAACCCAGGTGGGGCCATGAGAAGCCAGAGCTGCCTCCCCCTCACCCAGGGTGGGTCTGAGGTCCCACAAACATTCCCAGCAGCTCCCCCACCCCTCACCTCACCCAGAGATGGACGGGCTCACTGTGCCTGACGTGGGGCCGCCCAAAGACACTTACCAGCCTCTGCTGGGGCTTCAGATGCAGAGAGAAACATCCAGGTCAGCCGGAATATGCTGTCCTTCCACCCCTCCCTGTGATACACACCCCAAGCTCACTCCTGGCTCTGATGCTTTGCTCACGCCTTCCCCACTGCCTGGGGTGCATGCCGTCACCCCTTCTATCACCCACCTCTCCTTCTGAGGCAGTGGTTTCCATACTTGGCTGCACATTAAACCACAGGGGCACCTTTTAAAAATCCTGATGGGGCTTCCCTGGTGGCGCAGTGGTTGAGAGTCCGCCTGCCGGTGCAGGGGACACAGGTTCGTGCCCTGGTCTGGGAGGATCCCACATGCCGCGGAACGGCTGGGCCCGCGCGTCCGGAGCCTGTGCTCCGCAACGGGAGAGGCCACAACGGTGACAGGCCCGCGTGCCGCAAAAATAAATAAATAAATAAAAAATAAAAAAACAAAAATCCTGATGCCCAGGTGGTACCCAGGGCCAATTACATCAGAATGTCTGGGGCTGGGAGCCAGGGGTCGGTCGGCATTTGAGAAGATCCCCAGGTGATTCGATGTGAACAAAGCTGCTCTTGCCCGAGGTTCCCAGCCCTAAATACACATAAAATCCACTGGGAGAGCTTGAAAAACAACCCACCCCTGAGGTTCTGCTTAGTGGGTCTGGGGGTGGGGCCCTAGTAGAGCTCTAAAAGTTCTAGGTGATTCTGATGCACAGCCAGCCTTGAGCACCACCCCCTTACAGTTCACCAAGTGCCTCCAATCAGCCTTCTCACCTGCATCTCACCCAGACACCCTCTGGGCTGGCCCACCACCAATCCCATTTCTCAGATGAGAAAGCTAAGGTCCTGACAGGGTACAGCTGGCCTCAGGTTCCCAGTGAGAGTCTACACTCTCCTGAATCCTGATCAAGCCCTCCTTCCCCACCTGCTCTGACAGCCCACACACCTCCCTGAGGGCACCTAGAGAGGCGCCCGCCCCCCCGCACCCAGTTCACCAGCAGCTGGGGAGTCCTGAAGAGGACTGGGAGTCTGGAAAGAGCTTACAGGGACTGACCAAGGCCTTCTCCCTGCCTGCACCTCCCAGACCAAGAGGAGACTCCAGAAAGCCCCTCTCCCTTGGTGAGCCAGACACAGGGGCCGAGACGCCCCCTTATGCATGTTGCCCCCACTTTCAGTCTCACCCATCCCCACCTCCGAGCCAGGTCTCGTGACCTATAATCAGGGTGAAGATACAATCTTCTATCCCCACTCGGGCACTTTTGAGAATAAAAGGGGATGCTCTCAATAATTATGCCAGGAAGAGAGGAGTAAACAGGATGCTCCTACCCATGAGGGCCCAGCCTCCCATGCCCAGGCATGTTTGTACTTCTCACACCTTTGTTGTGATTACTGCCTCATAAAGACCTTTGCTGTGCAGCCTTGGGCAAGTTGCTTGACCTCTCTGACTCTCCATAGCCTCCATAATATGGGGGTCATAAGAGCCCCTAGAGTTGTTGTGAGGGTGAAATGAGATGATGTTGTTAAAATGTCTGGAACATAGTAAATGCATAGTAAAGAGTGGTGTTTATGGTTATTAGCTCACCCAAGAACGTCGCCCCTACGTAAGACAGACATGCACATATATACCTTCTCTTTTAGACACTCATGTACATACACAGTCACATACAGTCGTACATACACAGTCACATACAGTCACACACACAAGGGTGTACACACACTGCTGCCTACACCCACAGGAGTTTGCCTCCGTCCCCAGGGGACACCCACAGTCTTAAGTAGCCACGATTGCCCTGGCCACCAGAGGTCAGCATGCTCCCCACCAGCCCACCCACCTCACCATGCTCCCTCCTCCCCTGGCCCTAGTGGACCAACCCCCCCGCCCCCAACTGCCAGTGATTCCATGCAGCATATCCCTGCGGCTGATCCGGTGGCCCTTGCTCATCTGGCCCTTTGCCCAAGCTGCACCCATCAGTCCAGGAGACTATAAGAGGGAGTTCATCATCCTTGCATGGCCACCACTCACGGTTGAGGGGTACACAGAGCCCTCCCAGTGTCCCTGACGCCAGGTCCTGCTGCAGAGCTACCCAGACAAAGACAGCACAAGGACCCACATCCAACTGTATCAAAGGTGAACGTGCCAAGACGGCTACCATAGGGGTCTGAGGGCCTAGAACTCAGACCTGGGTCCATATCCTGCTCCACCACCTTTCATCTGCGGGAACTCAGGTCCCTTTACTTACCTGCTCTGAGCCTCTGTTTTCCATTCTGTAAAACAGGCCCATCGTCCCATCCTCCCGTGGCTCATTCCCTGTCCTTTTCAGGATTCTGCTGAAACGTTACCTTGCAGGGAGGCCATCCTCTTTCTTAGCTATTTTGTTTCTACTGAACTTTTTCCTTCTGACATAAGTCTATAGTTTACTTGCATATCTCGTTTATTGTCTGTCTCCCCATTAAAATAAAAACTCCAAGAGCTTTTCGGCTCTTTCATTCACTGCTATATCCATGGTGCTTAGAAAAGGGCCAGGGAGTGGGAGTCAAACTGGTGTCTGTTGAGTGACTGTGGGAACCTGGAGGGGTTAGAGATGGTTTCTGTAAAGTGCTCAGACCGGTGAGCGTTAGGATTCACAGGGCAGCTGGGGTCAGACAGGTCTGTGGGCTTGCCATAGGGGCGTCCAGATGACGCCCAAGGTGAGCAGCCAGACGGCACCTCTGCCCAGACCCAGGAGCCCCTTCCCCTACTCAGCAGCGTCCTACGGCTGATGGTCTGAGAGATCACCGAGGTTTCAGCTACCCCAAGCCCACCCACCGACAAGGCCCTGGTGTCAGACCTTGAGTCAGTCCCGGTCCCGCCCCTTCTGCCCCCCCCACCTTAGGGCTCCGCCCCTTCTGGCCGCCAACTCCACCCCCCAGGCAGCACCGCCTGGGCCCCTGGACACTGCTACCCCTGCAGCAGTGTCCCGTGGCCACCGCTCACCCCACTTGACACTCTCAGCCTTCTCCCCCGTAGCCCCACCCCCTCAGGGCCCACCCTGGCCCCGCCCCCTGAGGCTCAGTCCCACGCCCCGCCCCACGCGCGTGCTCACTGGTGCACTTCTTGACATGGCTGCCTTTCTTGAGCGCGTGGCGGCTCAACTTGCAATGGAAGTTGTCCTCCCAGAACTCAGCAAACCAGATGTTGCGCCGGTTGTTGTCCAGCGTGCGGCTGGAGAAGTAGCGGTCGAAGCCTGACAGGGAACCGGGATGTCAGGACCTCGCGCCTCCCTTCCCCACCCGCCCCCTCCCCTCCCCGCTTCCCGCAGCTTTCATGTGGCCCAGGCAGAGGGAGAAGGAAGGGAAGAGCACATCCTCCGATCCAGGGCCCAGCCGGAAAACACAAAATGTGGACCATTTCATTTTCTTCACAATGAAAAGAGCTGTATTAAATTCCAGGGAGAGCCTGTGTAATCTTACAACTGCTTTCCTTCATGGAAGAAATACAGGATGAGGCTGTTCCCGCAGCTTCTTAACCACCAAAATGGTAATATGGGGCCTCTTTGAGAAGGAGTCACTTGGGGGCCCAGAGATTAGAGCAGAGAGGCTGGTGGGGGTCAGGCACCCAATCCTGGGAGCACCTGAGCATTCTAGTTCTGAAAAGGAGACCGGACCAGAGGGTGT